ATACGCAATGCAATCACATTGCGACTGAATCCGGCGCGCGGAGCTCCGCGCGAACCTGCAGGGCGACGCAGCGCTCGACCTCTTAAATGTCGTCGAGCAAGCCGTCTGGGATGCCCTGCTCCTCGGGCGCCCCCGCGCGCTGCGAAGCATAGCCACTGCTGCGGCTGTTGCTCGTGCCTGCGGACAGCTGCTTCTGCTTCTTCGCGGCAGGCTCGGACCCCTTCCTGTCCTCCTGCCGCTGCTGCGTCGCGCTCTTATCCCCGAGGTCCGCTGCAGCAGCCACCGCGCCCGCAAGCACCGCCTCTGCCGCCGCCACCTTCACAGTAGCTACTGCCCTCGCCTTGGCCGCGCACTTCGCCTTCGGCTTGGACGAGTCGCGCTCCGCGATGAGCGCCTTGCCCTCCTCCGCGGCGACGGCGATGTCCGCGGCGACGACGGGCCCCTCGGGCGCGCCCTCGCCAGCAGGACTGTCGCCCCCACCAGCATCGAGCTCGTGCATGTCCTTGTCGCCGTCCTCGACCTCGTTTGGCACCTCGTCCTCGTTCGGGTCGTCCGCCTCGGGCTCCGCGCCATCTGCCTGGCGGGGGGGGCGCGTCGTTCGTGCTCGGCGTCGCCCTCCTCCTCCTGCCCCATCCCCCTCCTCCTGCTCCTCCTCCCCCTCCTCCTCCTCCTCCTCCTCCTCCTCCTCCTCTAACTCCTCCTCATCCTCGTCCTCCTCCTCATCTGCCTCCCTCTCTTCCTCCTCCCCCCTCCTCCTCCTCCTCCTCATCCTCCTCCTCCTCCGCCTCTTCCCTCTCCTCTTCCGCCTCCTCATCCTCTTCCTCCTCCATCGTCCCGCCTTCGGCGTCTCGGTGTTCGCGGCGACGGCGGGCTTCTTCGAGCTCGCTGCTGGGCACTTCAGCGCCACCTGATCCTTGTGGTTGTTCTTCAGCCACTCCCTCTTCGCGTCCTCGATTTCTTGGAGTGAGTGGCTCGTCAGCATCATCTTGAGGAGCTCTATCGCGGCCGCCTCGCCCTTGTAGCTTCGGAGCTGCACAAACTGCTTCATGTTCTTCTTGGTAGTGTGGTGCTTGCTGTGACTCCAGATCACCAGCCACGCTTCCGCCTTCACCGAGTTGGAGACACTGCTGAGCCACAGCGTCTCTTCGCCCTTGCTCACCCTCATGATCTCCCTGGGATGCGCCTTCTTGCGATCGCCCTCGCCGTGCTCGCATGGCACCTCCCACTCGAAGTTGTCGATCGCCCACGTCGCGATGCACGTCTGCCTCTGGTCGCAGAACCTCGCGACTGCGAAGTCGGGCGGGTCTCCGCTGCCCTCGCGGACGCGCCGCGCAGCCTGCATGAGGTCTGAAAAGTAGTTTGTTATTCCTGCCCTCGCTCCTCAGCCACCTCCGCCCTCCTTCCTCTACCGTTATTTCCCGCCTTCGTCCTCCTCCTCCTCCTCCTCCTCCTCCTCCTTCCTCCTCATCCTCCTCCTCGTCCTCCTCTTCTCCAACTCCTCCTCCTTCTCCTCCTCCCCCTCCGTATCCTTCCTCCTCCTGCACCTCCCTCCTCTGTCTCCCCTGATCCTCATGGGCCAGAGTTGGGGTAGGGCTTGGGCGGGCCAGCCCAGCCTTCATCTTCTCGTCGTAGCCCAACTGGAAGCCCTGGATGTGGCTTCAAGCCAAAGCTGCGGCGTTTGCGCGCCGGCGGCGGCCCTGCTGCTGCGGCTGCCGCAGGCGCCGAGCCGCCGTCGGCGACGCCCTCCTGCGACGCCTCGGCGCGCGCCTGCGCTGCGCCCTCCTCAACCTCCGCCGCTTCGGCGCCCTCCTCGCCCTCGCCCTCCTCGTCGCCCTCGGCGACGTCCGCGTCGCCCCCCGCCGCGCTCGGCTGCTGCGCGAATGGCTCAGCCCAAGCCGGAGGTCTCCTGGCTGGGAGCGCGGGGCAACAAGTATGGGGAGAAGGAGGAGGAGGAGGAGGAGGAGGAGGAGGAGGAGGAGGAGGAGGGGGGGAGGAGGGAGGAGCGAGGGAGGAGGGAGGAGAGAGGTGGGGGGATTTGAGGAGGGACGAGGGTAAGATGGGAGGAGGTGGAGCGAGGAGGAGAGGAGGAGGTGGCCCCAATCAGCCAGAGCGGAATGAAAGGCATGGCCTGTCCAAACAGTGATGCGAGTACCTCTCGCCCAGTCGCTTGCCACCCTCCCCCGCCCCTCGATTATATATGCACCCCGCCTGTCCTCTGGGCTAGCGCCGCCGCCGCGTGGCGGAGCATCGCCCTGAACTTGCCCGACGTGCCCACGACCCACCGGCCTTGGGCGTCGCCGGGCTTCCACGTGGACTCGCGCTCCTCTGCGATCTGGCGCAGCGCTTCCTGCTGCGAGGGTCGTCATGCAAAACGTCTTCCTTTCCCCCTTCTCCTTCTCCTCCTCCTCCTCCTCCTCCTTCCGCCTCCTCCTTTTTTCGCTTTATCTGTTTCCTCGTCCCCTCCTCCTCCTCATCCAACTCCTCCACCCCCACACCCCCCCCCCCCCCCCCCCCCCCCCCCCCCCCCCCCCCCCCTCCCTCCCCCCCCCCCCCCCCCCCTCCCCCCTCCTTCTTCCTCCTATCCATCATTCCCACCCCAAAAAAAAAAAAAAAAAAAAAAAAAATAACGTCAGCGCCAATTCGTGCTCGTTGATCATGCCCCTATTCTCCCACACTCTTCATTTCCTCCCCATCTTCCCTCCCTTCCCCCCCCCCCTCCCCCCCTCCTTTTACCTGCCCCTTCCTTCTCCTCCTCTCTCTTCTCTCCCCCAGCTTCTCTGATCATCGTCCTTCTCCCATCCTCCTCCTCCTCCTCCGCCCCCTCCTCCTCCTCCCTCCTCCTCCTCCTCCTCCTGCAGCTCTTCCTCCGCATCCTTCTCCTTCTCCTTCCCGCGCCGTCATTGTTCGTGCTCGTATGTGTCATCCTCTCTCTCCTCCTCTGCTCTTGAATTCGCACTTCGCTCGGCATCCCCCTCCTCCCCCCCCTCCGCCGCCCCCCCCTCCACCCCCAACCTTTCCCCCACCCCCCCCCCGTTACCCCCTTCCCCCTACCCCCCCCCTCCCACCCCTCCTCCTCAGGGGCTCTGGACTTCGCCTCTGATCGGTCGAGGACGGGAATGATGAAGAGAAGGAGGAGGAAGAGGAGGAGGAGGAGGAGGAGGAGGAGGAGGAGGAGGAGCAGGAGGAAGAAGAGCGGGGAGAGGAGAAGAAGGGGGGGAGGAGGAGGAGGAAGATGAGGAGGGGCGAAGTGCGGAGAGCGAGGACGAAGGGGGTGAGAAGTAGAAACACGCGAGCCGGAAACATGATGGAGTGGAAATGTGGAGCAAGAGGAGGGCAAGGTGAAGGAGAGCGACGACGGGGGAAAGTTAGGACGAGGAGGAGGAGGAAGAGAGGATGCCCTTGGTCGCCGCGGGCGTGAGGCGCGAAGCCAGCTGCCGAGTGGTGTTCAGCGACACCTGGTGCTTTGCAAGCTTCTTTGGGTCGACCCCTACCGCTGCCACTTTGGTCACGTACTTGCACGCGTCAGGGTCGGTGGCGATCTGGGCCCAAAGCAATTTCAGGGCGTCCGCGTCGCCGAAGGCCGCCAACTTGCCGCCCTGCGGAGGGCGACTGATAAGAAGGGGGAGGAGGAGGAGGAGGAGGAGGAGGAAGAGGAAGAGGAGGAGGAACAAAGAAGGAGATGGAGGAGGAGAAGGAGAAACATAAGAGAGAGACTGAAACATGAGGAAAGATGAAGGAACGAAGGGAGCATGGGGGAGAGGCAGGAGCAAAAGGCGGAGAAGGAGCAGGTGGGGGAGGGGGAGGAGGGGGAGGAGAGGGCAGGAGAAGGAGGGGAAGAGGAAGACATGGAGGAGGATGCGCTCAAGGAGGCGAAGAGCGGGGGAGGACGACGCAAGAGGAGGAGGAGGAAGAGGAGGAGGGGGACAAGGAGGAAGAGCAGGAGGAGGAGGAGGAGGAGGAGGCGGCCTTCTTGCCACCCTCGGCGGCGCCAGCGGCGCTCGCGCTCGTCTCGTCGCCGGCTGCGGCGGCGGCGCAGCCGTCGAGCTGCCCTCGAAGCGGCGACGGCGGCGGCCGCGCCACGCCCGCGACAAGGCGGGGGCGGGGCCAGAGCCGCGACATCACGAGAGGGCGCGGGGAAGGGGTGCCTGGGCTGAGGAGGCGACTCGCCTTCTCCACCTTGTCGTTTCCTTCATCCTCCACCTTCTCCCAGTTCCTCTTCGTCCGCCCCCTCGCCCTCCTCCTCCTCCTCCTCCTCCCCTCTCCTCCTCCTTCCTCCTCCTCCTCCTTCCTTCTACTCCTCCTCCTCCTCCCCCTCTTCCCCTTAAGTCCTCCTCCTCCTCCTCCTGCCTCTCTCTCCCCCCCCTCCCCCCTCCTTCCTCCCCTCCCCCCCCCCGCCCGCGAAGGCGACCTCCAAGATAGGCATCCTTTGCGCCGTCGATGCTGTCTGGCCCGGGTGTCGCGCGGCCACTGAGTGAAACCAAGCTGTTGTTATGGTTGGCATGAAAATAATGACAGTTTATATGAATTTCGATGGTTGTATATAAATAACTGTATGATTTGGTATAGTTATATGGTTATGTTGGGGCAACAACCAAATCGTAGTTATTTTGAACCTCTGGGAGAGCCGTCGCCGTCGCCGTCGCAGTCGCCTCGGTCCGGGGCCGTCGCGAGGCCGCCTCCTTCAGGGGCGCCGTCGCCGCCCCTCGGCGGACGGGGGCCGCCCGGTCGCCGTGGGGAAGCGGGCAAAAAAGGGGGCGAAGGGGCCGTAGATGGCCGGGCGACGGAATGCCGCCGTGTCCTCGTTCTGCCCACCTCCTTCCAATACGGCGCCGCTGCGCCGACCTGCGGGCCCGGCCCTCCGGCCCCCGGGCGCAGCTGCAGTCCGAGGCCCGCAGGGTAGTGGCGCCAGCGCGAGCCATCGGGGCGCCTTGCCAGGGCTGGGCGGGCGGCCGCAACGGGGGGGATCGCGCGGGCCGTCAGTGGCCCGTGCCCGATCCCAGGAGCCAAAGGGCGCGCTGGTGGCGACGCCTGCGGTCATTCCCGCGGCACTGCCCCACTGCCTGCTGCCGCGCGCCGCTTGGGCATCGAGCTGCTACTGCGCGATGCCTCCACGTGCGCGGCCGGTGCCGCGAAGGGCGGCCCGCGGGGCTGGGCGGGGCCCGGGCGGCTCTCCGACCGCGGGCGGCCGGGCCTCGTCGGGGCCCGCCCTTCGCTTCCAAGGGGGTCGGTTCTGGGGCCACTGGGGGCGCCGCTCGCCGCGCTGAATTATTGCGGGGGTCCGTCGGCGTCGCCCCCGGGCGGGGGCGACGCGGAAAGGCGGGCCATTCTCCGCGGGCGCCTCGCGCGGCGGCGCCACATAGCTCGCGCAGCGCCCGTCGCGGGATCACCACTAATCGCGGCAACTTCCTGTTCGGTGCCCCCGCTGCGTCCGCTCTCGGGCAAGCCGGGCCCAGGCGGGGCGCAGCTGGGCCCCCGCGCCCCCCCGTGACCTGGCAGGAGCAAAATGCAAGAAAGGCAATTGAGTTTCCCATCGGGAGAGCGGACTGCGTCGAGATGCTCGCCCTAGGGAGAGGCTGCGGGGGGGCAATCGGGGGGCCCGGTAATCGGACGGGGACGCTGTGCCAGCGTCAGTGGTGGGCGGGGCCGACGCGGCCGCAGCGTTGCTGGCCCCCCCCTGCCCCCCTGGCGCCGCGCCGTCGCTCGATCCAGGTCCGCTGCTGCGAGCGGCGGCGCAAGACCTATAGTTAGGCGCCTCAGCATCGGCCAGCCCTGCCACAGGCAGGCCACTCTCGTGCGGGCGCCCTCTGCACCCCCCATATCCTTCTTCCATGCGCCGGGTAGACACGTCACTATTCGCGGCGAGCTCCCGGGCTAGATGCCCGGGCGGCGGCCGCCGGGGCAAGGGGGGTCGGCAGTCGCAGAATCGGCCCCGCCCCCGACGCGCCGAAGAGCCGGCCGCGGCGACGAGGGCTCTCCAGGACGCGCGGCGGCGCCAATATCCCCCCGACCACCGCCCCGCCGAAATCCCCCGACCCCCCGAGAATCCAGCCGCGGCGACGAAGGCTCTCCCGGGCGAGGGCGGGAACGCACGCGCGAGCGCACTCGCGCTTGCGCGCTGGGAGCGTCGTCGACCAACTCCCGCCCTCCTTCGCCTCCTCCTGCTCGACCGCCACCGCATCCATGCAGTCCTTCGCGCCCCCTCGAAGCCCTTCGCGATCCCCCCGTCCACCTCCTCCGCATCTGCGATTTTCGCCTCCTGCATCTCCTCGCCCTAAGGCAGCGCGACGCGGGGGTTCTCTGACCCCCGCGGCGACGTCAGCTCTCCGGGAAGAGCAGCGGCGATGGGCTCGGTGCTTGGGCCCACGCGCAAGGCCTCGCTTCCGCGCCGCGCTGTGACACGCCACTGATCGTGGCAACTCCTTGTGCACGGATGTCCACGGTCTCCGCTAGCTCCGCCACTGGGCCCCCTCGCATCGCCCAGCGCGCCCCCTTCCCCCCTCCCAGCCCCCCCCTCCTCACGCGGTCTGGGTGCGCCACTGATCGCGGCTCCATGCGCGGGATTTCCGCGGTCTCCCAGGGGCCCGCGGCAACCCCCGGTCGGAGATCGCCGGGGTGGCAGACGCGCGGGCCGGGGTTCGTGAGAGGCGAGATCGTTGGGTTCCATCTGCACCCCCCCCCTGCTGGCGCGGAGACGCGGCGGCCTCGGCGAGGAATCCGGTCGCGGCGACGAGGGCCCTTCGGGGAGAGCCGCGGCGCTAGGATCGAAGGTGGGGCCCGCGCGCTTTCCACCACTGATCGTTGCAACTCCTTGTGCGAAACCGATGCTCTTTCCCTGGGGGCCGCAGCGGCCCCGGCGGAAGGGGCCCTCTGCGTCGCTGAGAATGTGGCTGCGGTTGCGAGGGCACTCCAGGATGGGCGGCGACGCCAGGTTCGATCGCGGCGCCGGCAAGAGGAGGAAGGGCCACCTGGCCCTCGGAGCGGCCCAGGGGCCACCTCGCCAGGAGCGTCCTGGGCCCTGCTCAGGCGCCGCTGAGCCGCGGCGCCGGCGGAGGCCACCGCGGCCGACGCCGCGCCGGCCGCTGCGGCGGCGGCCGCGGCGGCGGCAGCCGAAGCGGCGGCGGCGGCGGCCACCGCCAAACCCGGGGCGGCAGAGCGCGACGGCGGCCGCGGCGCCCGCCGAGCAGCCGCTCGCCGCGACGGCGGCGGCGGCGTCAGCGGCGGCCGAGGCCGCCGCTGCAGAAGAAGCAGGCGAGGCCCGCAGCGCGGGGCCGCGGGCGGGGGGCGGCGGCGCAGCCCCGCGAGCGGCGCAGCGCGCGAGGCGGCCGCGCGCCGCTGGCGGAGGGCGGGGGCCGACCGCGACGCCGCCCCGCCGCTGGGCGCGGCGAGGGCCGCGGCGCGGCAAGCGGGCGCGTCCGCCGCGCGCCCCGCGGGGGGCGACCAGCAGCGGCGCCGCCGGGCCGCGGCCGGCCCGCGGCGGGGGGGCCAGCATCAACGCCCGCGCGCGGCCACCGCGCGTCGCCGCCGCGGGCGGCGAGGCGCCAGCCAGCAGCATCAGCGGCAGCGCCAGGCAGCAGCGGCGCGCCGCCAGCGTCGGGCGCCGCTAGGGGGCTGGCGGCGTCAGCGGCGGCGGCGCAGCAGGTGCCCAGGCCGGGCGGCCCAAAGCTCGGGGCCGCCGCCAGGAAGCGCGGACATGGCGCGGGAGGCGGGGGCAGGGAAAGAGGAGACCCTCTCCCTGCCCCCACCGGCAAGCAGGAGGTCGGGGCCGACCTCCTACCTCGCGGCGGCGGCCGCTGCGGCGAGTTCGAGCCGAGGCGGCCTTGAGCCAGGGCGGGCGCAGTCGCGCGCGCGTTCACACGCGCGCACACGCACACATGTACATGCATATGCACATTCGCATTCACATTCCCACTCACAGTCGCACATTCACACATTCACACATTCACACACGCACACATTCACACACACACACACACACACACACACACACACACACACACACACACACACACACACACACACACACACACACACACACACACACACACACACACACACACACACGCGCACATTCACGCATGCACGCATTTACACACTCGCACGCGCACCGCCACCGCCGCCGCCGACCACCGCCATCAGCAACAACAATAATCAGTTTACCAACGTGCGCCGTGCTTCCACGTGTCACATGCGTCCTTCTGGATACCACGCCCCGTCACGGGGGATTTGTCTGGCATGCGGGGCCCGACGCCCGCTCGCCAAGATCTCCCGCCCAAGAAAGCATCGCCACCACCTCTTCCGAGGAACGTCGACATCCACAGCTCGGACGGCACATCGCCATCGCAATCGCCTTGCGCACGCCCCGCATCTCAGAGTATGAGGAGGGGGGACGAGGAGGCGAGGGGAGATGAGGGAGAGGAAAAGGGAGAGGAGGAGGAGGAGGAGGATGTCCTCGTCCGAACTGTTACGTCACCATCCTGCGGCCTCGGCGGGTGACCGTGAAAGTTCACGCCCCCAGGCGCTGTCGCTCCCATGCTCGCATCCCCCACCTGCCCCCCCACACCCGCTCAAGGAATCCCTGAAGTCAACCCTTCGACCCTCAATCCTTGAAGTCCCTGGAAGTCATCCGTCCTCCTTCTTCTCCTCCTTCACATTATCTATGCTCTCCAAAAAAACAATTATCTAATAATGAAGCCAGAGAAAAACCCAACCATCATCTTTTTAGGGCTATAGGGCTATAGGGCATATAGGGCTACACGGCTATAGGGCTATTGACCTATAGGGCTATAGGGCTATAGGGCTATAAGGCTATAGAGCATCCCCGGGCACCCCCGGGCACGCCCGGGCACCCGGGCAGCCCCGGGCACGCCCAGGCACCCGGGCACCCGGGCACCCCCGGGCCCCCGGGCACCCGGGCGTGCAGCAAAAATCGGCGGCAGACATAACCTAACCATATGAGTCCGTTGGGACCCCATAAAGAGGCTAGCTCTGATTGGGGAACTAAGGTTCAACAGGGACTCATGGAAGCGCCCCAGAGGCGATGCCGAAACGAGGGCCCCAATCTTGAGTAAAAGGTAATCCCACCAGCCCTTTAGGGCGTAGGTGGTCTAACGCGTTTCTCTTCCAACCCCCTTCTTCCCCTTCGGGGAGGGGTTTACCCCTCCCCCTACCCCCTCCCCACTGACCTGGACAGGGGGGGCCGCGAGCGGTCAGAGGGTCCAAAATCGACTCCTGGGAAGGCTGAAATTCGACACCCCTCACGAGGATCGTGGCTCCTGAGGGGGGGGCTGTAATCCCACCAGCCCTTTAGGGCGTCGGTGGTTTAACGAGTTTCCTCTTCCACCCCTCCTTCTTCCCCTTCGGGGAGGGGTTTACCCCTCCCCCTACCCCCTCCCCACTGACCTGGACAGGGGGGGCCGCGATCGGTCAGAGCGTCCAAGATCGACCCCTGGGAGGGCTAAAATTCGACACCCCTCACGAGGATCGTGGCTCCTGAGGGGGGGCTGAAATTTAGGAACCCCCCTTCGTTGATCGATCTCCTCCAAGATGGCTCCGAGAGACGTCTTGGACCCCCTCTTGGGCCCTGCGCGCGGGCGGGCGGAGCGCCGCCCGCCCGCCCGCAAGGCCCAAGAGCCCACCAAAACGTTCGAAGATACTTCCAAGACGCCACCAGGGAAGAGGAAGATGAGGAGGAAGAGGAGGAGGAGGAGGAGGAGGAGGAGCAGGAGGTGAGGGAGGAGGAGGAGAAGAGGAGGAGGAGAAGGCGGAGGAGGAGGAAGAGGGGGAGGAGAACAGCTGCCGATCATCGGCGCTCTTCGTTCGAGCGCCTGGTGTAGGATGGGCTGGTGGGGATACGCGAAGCGTCAAGAATTTAGGAACTCCCCTTCGTTGATCGATCTCTTCCAAAATGGCTCCAAGAGACGTCTTAGACCCTCCTCTTGGGCCCTGCGCCCGGCTGGGCGGAGCGCCGCCCGCCCGCCCGCAAGGCCCAAGAGCCCACCAAAACGCCTCAAGATACCTCCAAGACGCCGACAGGAGGAAGAGGAGGAGGAGGAGGAGGAGGAGGAGGAGAAGGGGAAGGGGAAGGAGGAGGAGGAGGAGGAGGAGGAGGAGGAGGAGGAGGAGGAGGAGGGGGAGGAGAACAACTGCCGATGATCGGCGCTCTTCGTTCGGGTACCTGGTGTAAGATGGGCTGCTGGGGATACGCGAAGCGTCAACAATTGAAGTATCAAAAGGGAGCGACGAGGGAGGACGGAAGGGAAGGGAGGAGAAAGGAGGGAGGAAGGAGGCAGGAGGAGGAGACAAGGGGGACGAAAAGGGAAACGAGGAGGGAGGAGGCGGAAGGAAAGAGGGACGGGAGAGGGAGGAGGAGAGGTGGAGGGGAGGGAGGAGGCAGAGGGAGGACGAGAGAGGGAGAAGGCGGGAGGAGGAGCAGGAAGAGGAGGAGGAAGAGGAGGAGGAGGAGGAGGAGGGGAAAAAGAGGAGGAGGAGGAGGAGGAGGAGGAGGAGGAGGGGAGGAAGGACGAGGAGGAGGAGGAGGAGGAGGAGGAGGGAGGAGGAGGAGGAGGGGGAGGAGAGAGGGGGAGGGAGGACGAGGAGAAAAGAGGAAATGGGGGAGGGAGGAAAGGGAGGAAAGAGGAAGGGGGGAGGGAGGAAAGAGGAGGAGAGAGGGGGGGAGGAAGGAAAGAAGGACGGAAGAGGGAGGAGGGAGGAGGGAGAGGAGGAGGGGGTGGAGGTAGGAAGAGGGAGGAAGAGGAGGGAGGGAGGAGGAGGGAGAAGGAGGAGGAGGACGAGGAGGAAAGAGGAAATGGAGGATGAGGACGACGAGGAGGAACAGGAGGACGAGGAGGAGGAGGAGGAGGAAGAGGAGGAGAAAAGGGCGCCATTCCAGCGTAAAAGCGCAAAACGGGAGGAAGTCTCGGGCGGGAGCGCTGGTTTTGTCGGGACGGGGGCTGTCGGCGGCGAGCAAGAGCACCGCCTTCAGTTAATAAGGGAGGAAGTCTCGAAAGGGAGCGTTGTTGTTGCTGGGGGGCGGCGCAAATGAGAGAAACAGTAACGTGCCTGTCCAAGGTAAAATGAGAGGAAGTCTCGAACGGAAACGCTGGTTTTGTTGAAACGGCTGCTTTCGGCGGCGAGCAAGAGCACCGGCCCTGAGTCAAAAAGGAGGAAATGTCGAATGGGAGCGTTGTTGTTGGTGGGGGGCCGGTTTTGGCGGTCCCCCAAACCACTTGAGAGTGAGCCACATTTTCACTGAAAATGCAGCTGGCGCCTCGGCGAGAGCGCCAGGGCGACTGTGAAGGGTCCAACAATAATAATTGTTTAGAAAAAAACATTCAACAGCAGCAAAAACAGCAACAAACAACAACAACAACCACAACCACAACCACAACCACAACAACAACAACAACAACAACAACAACAACAACAACAACAACAACAACAACAACAACAACAATAATATTCTTAAGACTGTTCGCCCTTATATGCTCGAAAGTCCAGTAATGCGTATTTCCCAAACCCTCGATACCCGCCCTCCTCGTCTTCGATCGAACCCCTCTTGGGGGGTATACCTTTCTTCCCTGCAGGCCAGGCCCCCGCAAGCGGCCGGGCGGCCGCGGACCGTCGGCCTGGCCAGAGGCAGCGCTGATCGGCGGGGCGGCCGCGGACCGTCGACCCGACCCCAAGAGGGACGGACAGGGGACCGACCACGACGACGACGACGACGAAGACGACGACGACGACGACGACGTCGAAGACGACGGCGACGACGACGACGACGGCGACGACGACGACGAGCGAAAGCGAGGGTGAGAGAGAACGACAGCAGGGCCACGAAGGGCACGAAGTAGGCCACGAAGGGCGACAGCGGGGACTCGAAGGGAATGCGTATGGGGCCACGAAGAGCGCGAACGAGCGGGGGCCACGAAGTGCATATAATGTGGGGCCACAGAAGGCAACTATGGGGCCACTGAGGGTAACCACTGGGCCACGTAGGACAGTGAGGGGGACACAAATGGCGACAGCAGGGCCACGAAGGGCACGCACATGGGGCCACAACGGGCGCGACTCCTGGGTGCCTGGGTGTCGGGAGCGCGGCGCTTGGGCAAATCGCAAGAAATTCCAACGCAAGGCCATTCTTCGAAATCGGCAGGTTGCAAGCAAACCTCCAGCGAGAGCGCGACTCCAGAGCGCCGGGAGAACGATTCTGGAATAAATTGTAAGGAAGTTCCAAGCGAGAGCGCGATTCCTGATTAACATGCGAGGAAGTCTCGGGCGGGAGCGGGGGTCCTGGCTAAATTATAAGGAAGTCTAAGGCGGGAGCCGTTGTTGTTGTAACCCGGGGACCAAGGGCCCAGTTTGAGCAGGAAGACTTTCCCTGTCAAAAAACAGGATGCGAGCGTCGAGGGGCACACTTTGATTAAGGAAAAACAGTATGCACCGGTGGGGGGGATCAACAAAAATTATTCTTCAGAAATGAGAATTCAATGATAAGACTAATACTAATAATATTAATGATAATAATACGAGTACTAATAATAATAATGATAATCATAATAATAATGATAATAATAATGATAATGAGAATAACCATACACATAATAATAATAGTGATAATAATACTAATAATAATACTAACAATCGCACAAACAAAAAACCTCCACCACGATCTTCCAACCGCGCGAGGGTGCCAGGCGAACGCCCCCCGAGGAAGAGGCCCTCCAGCGGAAGCAGCGCCTCTAGAGGAAGAAAAAATACCCAAGCACATATACACTTTCGGAGCTCTGTGCGGATTTCTGGAATCGGCGCTGGACCCCGCGCCCTGTCGCGCGGAGCGCGCCAGTGCCGGCGCTGGAGACGCCGCCAGGGGGCCAGCGCCGATCCAAGAAATCCGCGCGGAGTTCCGAAAGTGTATGCCGACGGCAGGCTCGTGTCGCGCCGACCCTGGCGTGTTCACCGCGGCGCTCAACGTTGAGCGCCATTGCCAGGGTCGCCGCCGGTCGACAGGACGTGAACCTAGCGTGTGCCGTGTCTTCTCCCTCGAGCCTCGCCGCCGTGCTCGCCACCGTGCAGCGGAAGCCGCGCGGCCGGCTCCGCCGCCGACGCCGCGACGAGCAGCGCCAGCGGCGCGGCGGGCCGCCAGACCGCCGGCTCCAGGGCGCCACGCGCCCGCGCGGGCGAGGCGCGCGGGGTGCGCAGAGGGCAGGCGTGCACACCGCCGCCGACAACGACGCCGACGACGACGACCACGACGATGACGACGACGATGACCGCGACGACGCCCACGACGACGACCATCACCACGACCACGACGACGAAGACGGCGACGACGAAGCCCACGACGCCGCCCACGGCGAGCACCCAGAATGCCGCCGCCATGTCCGAGGCTCCGACAACAAAAATGGAGAGCGATCGCGGTGCGTCCGCGCATGATCCAGGTCTTGGTGCAAAGTGCACTTGGTATTGTTTTTGATCAGGGAAGGCGCGGGGGGTCGGCATGGCCCCGGGCTTTTCGCCGGTCGGGTCGGGGAGGAGGCGCATTCAAGTCGGACCAATCATAAGCCCCTACCGAAGAGGAAGAAGGGGGGTTGCAAGAGAAAACTCTCTAAACCACTCACGCCCAGAGGGCTGGTGGGATTGGAGCCGCACGTTTGGGGCTGTTTCCGGCTTCTTGGGGCCCTCAAACGGCCCCAGGACCGTTTAAAAATTACTCCAGATGAAAAGCTGGCCCTATAGGGAAGTCGTCCAGACCTCCTGCAGTGGGGCCCACGCATCGAGAAACTGGTGCGCCAGATGTCTGGGATTGACCATCCTCGCGTCGAGACTAGAAGAAAGAACAAAACACATAAGCATAAACTTTCGACGGCGTCCGCGCGGATATCTTGGATCTGCGCTGGGCCCCCCTGGCGGCGCCTCCGGCGCAGCCCCTGGCGCGCTCCGCGCGCCTGGGAGGGCCAGCACAGATCCAAGAAATCCGCGCGGGCCATCGACAGCTGATGTCTCTTCAATTGTTTTTCTTCGTCTGCGAGAGAGAGAGAGAGAGAGAGAGAAAAAAAAAAAAAACTACAACAATAAAAAAGAACAGCCACACAACGGAACGGAAACCATCTTCGGCATCCGGGGCCAGGTGGTTCTCACCCGGCCCCAGGGGCGGCAGTCAACGGCTCGGGATGAAAAGTTGGTCCTCGGAAAGGGGGGGCCCGGACATCCAGGAAGAGTTGCCTGAAAAATCACGACGTGGGATGTCTGGGTGCCCAGGGCCATTTTGGGCCCTGGCGTGGCTGGAGCTGGGAGGGCCCATGTGGGGAGGCAAGAACAGTGCCAATGACACGCCGCCGAGGGGAACCCATCAGCGTGCTGTTGAAGAACACCCGCGCTTTGGACAGAAGCGGAGGAGTAAACGCACTGACGCCGCTGCCAACGACGGCGTGTCGTCGATGCTCGTGTCCCCTCCCGACCTTGCTCACGAGCGGCGAACGCATCCGTAACCCCCGCCCTGGCGGTCTGGAGTCTGGGGCGCGATCCCGCGAACACGTGGTCGCACAGCTACGCTCCGCGCGGGGCATCCGCGAAGAACTGGCCCGAATCCGCGAGGTCGCGGCCCAGGGGCCTGGCCTGCGAGGCCGTGGGCACGTATGTGCGTTTGGCCCACGAAGCACCCATCCTGGGCACAGGAGGGGGCCTGGCCAGCACGGGTGAGCTGCGTGCCGACACCGTGCTACCACAAGGAATGTCGAACATACACTGAGGGGGCTCTTCTGGCCAAGGCGAGCCTCGGCCACGAACAGTTTCTCCAGACATATGGACCGAACGAACGGCCGAAAACAAGAGCCCCTCCTGAAGCCCAAGCGGTTCTTCTCTTTTGTCTTGCCCAGACACCTGGCACCGCAGCTGTTCACAGCGCGGCCCTCTGGTCTGGACCCCTTCCCGGAGACCAGCTAGCTGTCCATCCCGAGCAATCTTTCGGCGGCCCTGGGGCCCGGTGAGGGCTCCTGGCAGCCGAGATTTCCCCCAGCGCCCCAAAGTCCGCGAGGCCGCGGATACGGAAACATATTTTTCACCCATGCGGCATGCACCTCTCCCGGAGCCATCGCGAAGTGCCTCCGGCAAGGCGCGGCGATGGCGCACGGCGTCGATGCCCTCTGCGGATCGGGAGGTCGGGGGGGCCGAGCAGCTGAGGCAGCGCGTCCCGGTAGATGTCCAGCACCTGTGCGCGCGGGAGCCGCTGTTCCAACGTGGGGAGCGAGGGGCTTCGCCCCCGAAGCCCTCCAAGCCCCGCTCTTGCAGAGTGGGGCTTTCTCAGGACCCCCCCTCGGGGAAACCCTTCTCTTGCAGGGGGGGGGTCTAGAGAAAAAAAGAAGCCCCCCCTGGCAAGGGGGGTCAACTAGCCCCCCCCCCCCTTGGAACTCCCCCCAAACCCATTAAAACCTTTTGCAAGGCGCTGTTTTTTGAAAGCCCCCTGAGCCACCTTCGCCAGGGAAGGCTGACCGCCCTCCCCGTGGAAAACCCGTCGGAACCTCGGAAATCCTCCGAATCTGGCCGACGCTCGTGGACTGGGCGGAGGCCTGGTGAGGGCCCCCTGGAGGCCGAAAATTACCAAAAACATATCGTCGTCATGTCCCCAGACACACGGTGCTCTGATTTTTTCGTTGCGTGAACCCCCAATGGCTAGTCTGCATCCTGAGCCACTTTCTCAAGTGCTGGGGCCCGCTGAGGGCCCCTGGAAGCCGAAACTAACCCAGAACTGGCCCGTCCAATTTTTGTCGGAGCCTCGGATCTCTGCGTTCGGCTACACGCGAGAGCGAGCCCGGGCAAGAGTAACCTTTAGTGCGCGGCGTTTGGGGGCCGCGGGGGACCACACAGAAGCGCGCAAGACGCCACTGTCGCATCGCGTTCGGCGATCGGGGGGCCCCCATCGGCCCAAACCTAAGGTCACTCCGTGGAAGGGTCACCCTTACGCGTGATCGAATCTAGCTGGGTCCCCCTGGGAAAACCACAAGGTACTGATACCGCTTCTCCCAGGGCCTCTCCCGGGGTGCGTTGTGACAAGGATTTCGAAGCGAATCCAGCGGTGACGACGGGGTTCCTCCTTGGGGCCCAGGGGGCCCAAACAGGGGAAAACGAGGGAAGGGTCAGAGTGAGGGGGCCGAACGGTCATTCACTGTCCCTCGGTGCGTGGCTGAAGTGGAATTACGCGGTGCGGATTCTCGTTGTTGTTCCCTACCTAGGCTCTGCCTAGAAGGGTTCTTACTCTGTTAGCTAAAGGGGCCGGGCAGTGCAACACGCCCCGGGTGGTTCCCCCAGTCCCCGCCCCGCGGTTCCCCCAGTTGCGCCCCCTGGGTTCACCCAGCTTAGCTTAGTTTAGCTTATGTCATCTCATCTTAGCTTAGCTTAGCTTTGTCTAGCCCAGCTTGGTTTAACTTAGCTTAGCTTAGCTTAGCTTAGCTTATCTTAGCTCATCTTAGCTTAGCTTAGCTTAGCTTGGCTTGGCTTGGCTTGGTTTAGCTTAGCTTAGCCTAGCTTAGCTCAGCTTAGCTTCGCTTACCTTAGCTTAGCGCAGCGCAGCATAGCGCAACGTAGCATTAGCACAGAATATCATATCATAGCATGACCAAACATAGCATAGCACAGCATAGCATAGCATATATCAGAACAACAAAGTACATCATAGCATAGCAGAGCGCAGCACAGCATAGCATATCATGGCATAGCAATGCTTAGCATAGCACGGCATAGCATGGCATATCATAGCATAGCATAGCGCAGCATATCATAGCACAGCATAGCAGCGCATATCATAGCATAGCGCAGCATCGCATATCATAGCATAGCCTAGCATAGCATAGCATAGCTCAACATAGCATAGCATAGCATAGCGCAGCATAGCATATCGTAGCATAGCGCAGCATAGCACAGCATAGCATAGCCTGCTATGCTAACATCGCCTCATATGCTCCTAGGGCAGTGCATATGTAGATGTAGGTGTCGGTGTAGATGTGGATGTAGGTGTAGATGTAGATGTAGATGTACATGTAGGTGTAAATGTAGATTTATATGTAGATGTGAGTCTCGCTGTTGATGTTTATGTAGCTGTAGACGGGGGTGTAGATGTAAATGTAGTTGTCGGTGTAGATGTAAATGTTGCTTTCCTAAATGCTCCAACTCCTAGGTCGGTTCGCACTGGGATAATTGTTGTTTGTTGTTGTTTGTTGTTGTTGTTTGTTGTCGTCGTCCCACCCGCAACCCGCCCCGCGACCCACCCGCGACCCAACCCGCGACCCACCTCGCGACCCACCCGCGACCCACCCGCGACCCACCCGAGACCCACCCCGCGACCCACCCCGCGACCCACCCCGCGACCCACCGCGCGACCCACCCCGCGACCCACCCCGCGACCCACCCGCGACCCACCCGCGACCTACCCGCGACCCACCCGCGACCTACCCCGCGACCCACCCGCGACCCACCCGCGACCCAAACCACGTTCAAGGTACAAACCACCATGTTCGGCGCCTGCGGCGGGATTTTTCCCTACCTAGGCTCTGCCTAGAAGGGTTCTTACTCTGTTAGCTAAAGAGGCCGGGCAGTGCAACACGCCCCGGGTGGTTCCCCCAGTCCCCGCCCCGCGGTTCCCCCAATTGCGCCCCCTGGGTTCACCCAGCTTAGCTTAGCTTGGCTTGGCTTGGTTTAGCTTAGCTTAGCCTCGCTTAGCTCAGCTCAGCTCAGCTTAGCATAGCTTCGCTTACCTTAGCTTATCGCAGCATAGCGCAGCGCAGCATTAACACAGCCTAGCATAGCATATCATGACCAATAATAGCATAGCATAGCATAACATAGCATAGCATAGCATAGCATCGCTCAGAATAACAAAGCATTTCATAACATCGCACATCATAGCATAGCGCAGCACAGAATAGCATATCATAGCAATGCTTAGCATAGCACGGCATAGCATAACATAGCATAGCGCAGTATAGCGCAGTATAGCATAACATAGCAAATCAGATCAGAGCATAGCATAGAGCAGCATCGCATATCATAACATAGCCTATCATAGCATAGCATAGCATATCGCAGCATAGCACAGCATAGCATAGCGCAGCATAGCATATCGTAGCATAGCGCAACCTATCATAGCATAGCATAGCATATCATAGCCTGCTATGCTATCATAGCCTCATATGCTCCGAAGAAAGTGCATACGTATATGTAGGTGCAGGTGTGGATGTAGGTGTATATGTAGATGTATATGTAGGTGTAGATGTAGATTTAGATGCAGATGTGAGTCTCGCTGTTGATGTAGATGTAGATGTAGATGCAGGTGTATATGTTCATGTAGCTGTCGGTGTAGATGTAGATGTTGCTTACCTAAATGCTCCAACTCCTAGGTAGGGTCGCACTGGGATAATTGTGCATTCCTTCCAGGTGGAGAGCCCGCGACCCACCACGTGACCAACTCGCGACCAAACCGCGACCCAAACCACGTTCAGGGTACAAACCAGATTTTTCGGCGCCTGCGGCGGGCATCTTTTGCATCCGTTTCAGGTGGAGAGCCCGCGGCCCACCCGCGACCACGTTCAGGGTACAGACCACATTTTTCGGCGCCTGCGGCGGGCATCCTTTGCATTCGTTCCCGGTGGAGAACCCACGGCCCACCCGCGGCCCACCCGCGACCCAAACCACGTTCAGTGTACAAACCAATTGTTTTGACGCCTGCGGCGTGCTGTTTTTGCATTCCTTCCAGGTGGAGGTGGAGAGCTCGCGACCCACCCGCGACCTAAACCACTTTCACTGAACAAACCAATGCCGCACAAGAGCGGCGGCGGATTTTTGCATGCCGTCTGAGCCCGCAAGGACCTCTTCAAGCCCCGCGCATTCACACCAGCCCGTCCAGCAACTCTGCCCTGGCGAGTTGCCTTGATCGAAAAAAGGCAGGGAGCATAAAGTGGAAAACAAGATTGCGTTGCAGTCATCTTGGGAAAAGGAGGGGGAGGCCGGAGGAGTAAACAGGGGATGAGGAGAACGCGGAAGAAGAGAGGATGTAAGGATAATGTGGAGAAAGAAAAGGAGGAGGAGCAGGAGGACGAGGAGGGGGAGGAGGGGGAGGAGGGGGAGGAGGAGGACGAGGAGGGGGAGGAGGGGGAGGATGATGATGATGGACGACAATGGGAGGACGATGATGGAGGCCGATGAGGGGGAGGACGACAATGGGAGGACGATGATGAAAGGACGAGGGGGGGAGAGGGAGGACGAGGAAGAAGAGGGAGGAGGATGATGACGATGACGATGAGGGATCGAGGACGATGACGATGAGGACGAGACGAGGAGGAGGAGGAGGAGGAGGAGGAGGAGGAGGAGGAGGAGGAGGAGGAGGAGGAGGAGAGCGCCATCGACAGGGAAAGTGGGGGCCACGAGGTCCGCCGGCTCGACGACGCCCGCGTCGCCCGCGCCCGCCCCCTTACTCTTATCCGCAATTGCGGGGTGCTACGTAGCATTATGAGTACAGTGTTCCCCTCTGACTAGCTGGGTCCCCCGCCGAAAATCTAGACCCCAGTAGCCCCAAGCTGGAGGAGCCGAGCCAGCCGGCCTTCTTCGATTAGGGGATCGACCATACAATTCACTTACCCAAAAATCGATGTTTACGTCGGGTTTGCGGAACATGCAGTCGGCCCGTATCACAAGGATGCGCGATAAAGATGCAAGGGCGTTGGATGCCAATGTCGAAGCTTCTCGAGCGGCGTGCAGCCGACGAAAGGTGCCAAGGATGGACCGAGGAGGCAAGGATACAAGGGTATCCTTGGGAAGGTTGCCCATCCTCACTATTGGGCTGACTGTAGGTAGAATGTTCCCTGGATCTACGGAGCATTATGCGTATCCGTAATTTCGATGAGACAATCAATTCTGGGGTACCCCTACTCGAGGCCTTCCCGATCCTCCTACTCGAGGCCTTCTCGCCCGCGCCGCGCCTCGGCCCTGAGGGCCTCCTGCGCGGCGCGCAGGCTCTCCACGGCCTCGCCGCGCCGGAGAGCGAGCAGCTGCTCGACCAGCTGTGGGATCGAGTCGAACCTGCGGACCTATGGGAGGGGCAGACACTCCTTTTCCTCGCCCTCCTCCTCCTCCTCCTCATCCTCCTCCTTTCCTCCTCCTCCTCCTCCTCCTCCTGACACTCCTCCTCCTTCCTCCTCCTCCTCCTCCTCCTCCTCCTCCTCCCATTGATCTGCTTCCTCTGCTTCCTCCTCCTCCCCCCGTCTCTCCTCCTCCCCTCCTCCTCCTCCTCCTCCTCCTCCTCCTCTCCTCCTCCTCCTCGTTGACACTCCTCCTCAACCTCCTCCTCCTCCCCTCCCTTCCACCTCCTTTTCCTTCTTCTTTTCCTCCTCCTCCTCCTCCTCCTCCTCCTCCAAACTCTCCTCCTCCTCCTCCTTTTCCTCTTCGTCCTCGTGCTCCTCCTTCTCCTCCTCCTCGTCGTCCGCCTCTCCTCCTCCTCCTCCTCCTCCCCCTCCTCCCCCTCCTCCTCTTCCACCATCTCCTCCTCCTCTTCCTCGTTGACCTCCTCCTCCTCGGCGCAGCCCAAAGCGACCAGGTTCAGTCCAGATCACCTACGCCTGTGTGCCTGCAGCGGGTGGCGCCGTCTGCCACTTTTGCTTCTCCTCCTCCTCCTCGTTGACCTCCTCTGTCTCCTCCTCCTCCTCCTCCTCCTCCTCCTCCTCCTCCTCCTTCTCGTTGACCTCCTCGTCGTCGTCCTCCTCCTCCTCATTGTCCACTCCGTCTCCTTAAAGATCATCTGCCCGTGTCGCACCCCGAGGCCAGTTTTTCTGGCGGGTTGGGCGTTTCGCGCGCATTCGTTTTCAAACATTGCAAGGGCTTCACGGATTGAGGGCGGGTCGTTTTTAAAATGTGGCTATCGCTGTAGCGCCGCGCACATTCGTTTGCAAGAGTTTCACGGGTTGGGGGCGGTTTGTTTCGAAATGCGGTTTTCGCCTTAGCGCCGCGCGCGCTCACTTTCAACATGTGCAAACATGTCACGGATTGAGGGCGGATCAGTTTCGGAATGTGGTTCTCGCCTTAGCGCAGCGCGAATTCGTTTTTAAACTTCGTAAGAGCTTCGCGGATTGACGGCGGGTCGTTTTCGAAATGTGGTTCTCGCCTGAACGCCGCGCGCGCTCGTTTTTTTGTTACATATATATATATATATATATATATATATGCAAACGCTTCACGGATTGTGGGCGGGCCGTTTTCGAAATGTGGCATTCGCATTAACCCTATGCGCAATCGGTTCCGAAATTTGCAAGACTGTCACGGGCTCCCGTGATCAGCGTACCATACATGTTTTGGTTGGAAGATTCAGGATTATGCGGGCGCAACACTTATTATGATCTGCAATGTTGAAATCCAAGAAATGGCGGTATGGTACGATTCCGGATCGTCAAGACGCAGCAGCCAGGTTGATACGTGGAGCTGCAAGGCCGACAACAATGCATTGGCACGCTTCCGGATATTCGAACGGTTGTCCCCCAACGAGCGAGTTCCCTCAATGGAGATAAACCGTCGTATGGGGACTACGAAAAGGGAGCTCGGAGGGAGGGTTCATTCCAACATCGCTGATGACAGAGAGAGCAGGGTGGCACGCGGGTGGGAGGCTTGAGCATCGATTGCCACATGGGGTGGACGGCCACCAGACGGGGCGCATATACAAGCCCGCGTGGGACACTGCAACGCACCCCACCCCATCAGGCCAAACAAATTTTTTATCTAGCAGGCTCATTCTTCCGCCAGGACCGGCGAGAGGCCAACGCGCAGGACGAGAGGCACAGGCGCTGGCCACCAAATCCATGTTGACAGAGGAGAGCCATGACTACTTGTCCTCTGGCCCGGAGGGCTGCGTGCATATGAAAACACGAGACTTGAATTTCCAAACGTGGCGAGACATACCCTGAACCCTCAGCGAAGCGAGGGCATCGGAGAAGGCGCGAGCCAAAGCGCGACAGAGCCGAGGAGGGCAGGGCTCAGCCACAGGTCCTGAAACGACACTCCTAGTTTTTACCCCGGAGGTTTTGGCGCGGCCTCTGGGAGGCCGAGCACAGGTTGTCCCTGCGTTTACAAGGCTTCTCCGCCGAGTTTAAATCGATCAGGGCGCCAACTAAATTTCGCGCGTCTACTCCATGGCGCCCCGAGCTGGCACGCGCCGGTTGAGATTACTTGCGAGCGCGAATTGCGAACAAGAGACATAGCGGCGGGTGCAAGTCACATCGTACTAGTGGCTGGGTTCTCCATTGTTCCAAATATTATCATTATTCCGCGCGCGCGGAGGCGCGAGATAGCGAGGAACATTATAGCGCTGCCAACGTCAGCGCGCGACTGATCTCTCTCCGACAGCCCCTCGAGCCCCATCGCATGATCGTTCGAACGCAGCGGCGGGGGTCCTGGCGGAACGTCGCGCGCGCAAGACCAAGGCGAGCAAGGGGCGCCGAACTGCATGGCGAGCATGGTCCATCCAAGTATCCACCCCCGAATCAGTCAGCGCTTGGCGCTTGGCGGGATCGGCCAGGTCGCGCTGATCACCGCGCAGGGCGCCCCAGGCCAAGACATGGAAGCCTTCCGATGCCATAGCACGCCCAAGCCGAGCCGCCTCAGCAAACCCTTCCAGCAACACCCGCAGTCTCAAGGGCCGCGGAATCTGCGCGGCTGCAGCGATCCGTAGAGCGCCGCTGGGAGGTTCTTGAGGCACCATCGCCCGTGGGTCTGGAGGCGCATCGGCAACTTGCGAACTCGCTGCCGAGGCGACCGCCCTCCTCGCACCTCCTCGCGCTGGTGCCCGCGCGCCAGCGCCCGCGGCGCTTCGCGCCCGCTGGGGGGCGCCGCTGCTCAGCGAGGTCGCGGCTCGCGCCCGAGCGCCTCGGGGCGCGCGGCGGCGGGGGCCGTTTCAGCAAAAGCCGGGTGCCTGCCACCTTGAAGCGACGCGCGAACTCGGCCTGGCCGAACGAGAACAGCGGCCCCCGCGGCCCTCGGCCCTCGACGGCCCTAGCCACTGGTCGTCGGCGAGGTCCGGCTGCAGCGACTCGTCGAACTCCCCCGTCTTGCCCGGCTGGCCGGCCTCGTCCTCCATGGGGTGGAGGGCCAGGCTCCAATGCGCCTGCCCCCCGCAGCCGCCCGCGGCGGGCGGCGCCAGGTGCCCCGCTGCGGCGGTGGGTCGCCCAGTCGCCCGGCCGCGCGAGGAACGCGAGAGGCAATATCATGCACGTCGCCATGTCCCAGCGAGCGGCGCGGCAGGCGACTGGCTGCTGGGGCCAAGTTGCGCCGCCCCGCCAAGGCCTGTCGCGCCTTGGGAAGCAGGTGGTCCCCGCCTATGCCCCGGAGAGGATCGGCCCAGGCTAAGGCTGCCATCGGGTTCGCCCCGCGCCAATAGTCGAACCCCTCTATGAACTGCTCGGTCATCCAGTCGCTCGCGCCGAGGTCGGAGGTCCAGCGCGCCGGCGTCTAGGGGGGCGCTCGGGCGTGGCCTGGCAGAGAGGCCGCTGAGCTCCAGCCACTGGCCCAGCTCGCTGAGGAACTCCAAGCATCGCCGACGAACCGCAGCGGTGCGCACCGAGCGGTCCTGCAGGTACCGCTCGCGCTCCGCGCCCGTGGACAGGGGCGCCCCGCGGGCCGCCTTGCGCCGCCGGCAGCTCTCGCCCGCGGCGCCCGCGCCGCGGCCCAGCGCCCGCCAGAGCGCCCGCTCGACCTGCTGTGCGAGCTCGAGGCGGCGGGGCGGGAGGGCTCGGCGGGCTCGGCCTCGGCCGCCGCCGAGGCAACGCCGGGGCCTCCGCGCGGGGGGCGGCCGCCGGCGGCTGCCTGCGTGCGAGGGGCGGCCTCCTTGGCGGCAGCGTCGCCTCCTCCGTGCCCAGCGTGGCCCGGGCCTCGCGACGGGCTCTCGGCGCGGTTCCTCTCGCCGGGGAACCGGCGGCCAGCGAACGCCGCGCCCGCGGCAAGGCCGCGCGCCGCCGCGCTCCGAAGCGCGGCGCGCGCCCCGACGGCCGAGGACCGCCCTTTGCGCAGAGCCAGAACACAGGTCAGGGAATGAAGCACGAGGAGATGACGCGATCCAAAACACTATGGAGCGGCACGTGCGTTTCGCCGCAGCAGTGAGACACCGAGCCTCGCCATGAACAGCGTTGTCTATTGGAGTGCGTCACTTCTTGCCTATGCTCACCACCCATCCCCGCTCTCTCATGACGGACGGGAGGTTTGATCGAGCATTCCCCCTCCCCTGCGTGCCCCCCTCCACCTCCTTCGCCCGGTCGATGTCCACGGAGTCTACATGGGGCCCAAGGGCGCCTTCGCCATGCCCACTCTGGGTTCTACTCGAGAGTCTCCAACGCGCGCTGACGCGCCCTAGCCGATGAACGTCTTCACGTGGAAGTTGGCAAGAGACGACGCCGTGGCCCCAGAGCGGCGCGTCTGTGGCAACCGCCGTCGAAGTCCACGAAGCCCCAAAGTCGCGACGGATAAGAGGCACGATGTTCCTGAGGGCATCGAGCTCCCAGCGGACAGCATCCGAGAACGCGACGACCCCGTGATCGCGACGTCCGGCGACGGAGGCGTAGAAGGACCGGAAGATGGAGAGGGGGAGGCGACAGGGGGGTGCGAGACAAGCAAAGTGCCCTATTACTCTCTCGACGCCCCGAGCTTACGCTTTCCTGTGTTCGAGCAGGCCGTCGATCGCCAATCGAATGTGCCGAGCTCGCTCCGGCCGAGGTCTGATGAAGCCCCGTCGAGCGCTGATTTCCCTTCCAAGCGCATCCTCACCCTGGGAACACGCTGCGATCTCGCGCGTAGGCAGCCCTCGAGACCGAAGCGCTTCATCGACCTGTTGCGCGAGTCGCCCGACTGCCGAGCGGCGCGCGCCCAGCGCAAGAAAGCCTTCATCGCGTGCGATAGGGCGCGCCGGGGTGGTCGCAGGCGGGGCCCCTCGGTCGGGGACGAAACGGGCCTCGTCGAGGCCGGGGGTGTCCTGGATGGCGCGCCGGTGCAAAGTCTGACAGAACCACAAAGCGCGGGGCCACCCCATGGGCGTCGCGCGAAGCTGGGGGCGGACGGGCGCGCCCGGGCTCACTCTCAGTCTCGCGCCACCCACTTCGGCGACTCCAGCAATCCAGGCCGGGGCAGCCGGGAGTGACAAGTAGATCCTGAGCTTCAGCGGCAGCTCGAAGTGGTAGAAGTCATCCTTGATGTCTACGTGGCCCACGTAGCCCCCGCGGGCGCCTCGAGGTTGCCGAAGGCGGCCCAGGCGCTCAGCTCGACCGGGTCGGAAGGGGAAGACCAGCAGTTCGTGCGACGGCAGTCGATCGCCGGCCGCTGCGCGCCCTGCTTCCTCACGAAGACATGAGAACCAAACTCCGCCTGCTCGAGGGCGTGGGCGATCATCGCGGCCCTATCGAGCCTCCTGATCAGCCGCTGGTACTCATGCGGAGAAACGCACAGCGCCTTCTCCACGCGGGTCTCCCGAGGGGCACTCTGGAGGTCGACGACAGCTGCTTCTTGTTTGGGACGAAGAAGGCCAAAGAAACCGTCGACTTCCATCTCGCCACCGGCCCCAAACAGATCTGCCGGCGGCGCTGGGCGGTTGCCCGCAGAAGGCAGACGGGCCTTCAACTCGTCGCGCGGCGCCGCGTTGGACTGCGAGTCTTCGCGCAACGCGCACCTCTGGAGCTCCTGGGGGGCCCCCGAGGGCGCGAGAGATGGAGGTCGGCCCATCGCCGAAGCGGCAGCGCATACACGACGCCGCGCAGGCGCCTTCGGAGCCCCACTGCGACAGGATCCGCCAGCAGATGGCCCCTGCTCGCAGCCCGCCAACGAGTTGAGGGTAGAGATCGCGGGGTCGGACAGGCCAGAGACAGCATGCCGTCGCATAAACCCGCCGCCGAACTCGGCGGCAGGGAGGCGACGTCCGAAATCGCGGCGCGGCGTCTCCCCCACGCAGATGAGGGGCACGAAGAACATCTCGCTGGCGAGGGCCCTCTGGACGCGGTAGCCGACTTTGCGGCCTCCATGCGGCAGGGGGCGCAAGACCAGGAGGATCGCGAAGCGGACCATCTCCTGGAAAGGCGCGGCGCAAGCCGTGGGGATAGGTCGGGGCAGGATGGTCGGCTTGCTCTGGGGCCCTCCCCAGGGCCTCTCACCCCCGCTTGTCCTTCTGCTTGGGGCGCAGCTCGCGTTCCTCCTTCGCCTTCCTGATGTTCTCCATGATGGCCGCGTCCTTCTCCACCTGCGCCCCCGAATGCTCTAACAATTATGGCGTCACCGTCGAGGGGTCTCCAGCGCGACTGAGGCCAGAGGAAACGGTGGCCTCCTCGACTGAGAGACGGGAGCTCGAACAAGCGTCCGTCTCTCTCATCTTGTCGCGGCACGCCTGCTCGCGCGCCTGACCGCGGCCCCCATGCAGGCCACGTTGATGATGTCGAGCTGGTCACACTGGCCTGCCAGCTCGATGATGCGGAACAGGGTCTCGTTTCCGCGACGCCCCACTGCTCGGGCTTCAAAGAACAGGTACTGCGGAACATCAGATGGTGATCTAGTTGCGGGCGCCGCCGACGAAGGAACGACAAGCGCAAACTCATGCCGCCAGGCCCGCTCACGAGGAAACCCTCGAATCCCCCCTGCACACAATTCCCAACAACATCCTTCCAGTCTCGCAATTGCCCGCCAGGGCCGTACTTCACGGAAAGAGCGCGGACGTCAGGCTGGGACTTCGGGACCTCAGCTCTATCCCGCGGGGCAACCCTAGCCATTCAGTCCAACGGCTCCGCGTCGCTGAACTCCACCAACACCCCGCCCTTGCCGTTCCGAGCATTGACACCCTTGACGCCCGCAGGCGCGGTCAGGGACATCACCTCGAAGACGAGGTCCAGGCCCAAGGCGTTGTTGACCTCCGCCACCCTCCAGACCCCAGCAGGCGGCGTCTTGGCCCCTCCGACGATCGCCCCGTCAGCGCCCCCCGAGGATGCACCAGCGCCCCCAAAGGCGCCGAGCCGAACGCTCGGCTGCGCGAAAGCCACTCCCAGGAGGGCCTCGGCTGCGACGCGCTGGCCTCGGATGCGGCACGCGATTGGGCAGTCGACGAGCATCGCCACGTCGGCCCGAGCGGTCTTCACGGCCAGAGTGGCCGCGCGAGCGATCAACTTCGCGAGGAGGTCGTCGCCCGCGGGGAACGAGTAGACGGCGTCGGCAAATCCGCGCGGCAATCGACCATCAGCAGCTGGGCGGATCCACTCCACAGGGCTATCGTCGGGGTGGCCGCCTTGGACGCCCTCGACGTACTGATCTCCGTCGGGGGCTGCGCCCACGCAGTCCACCACTCCTGTTGACTGGGGCGGCAGTGGTCAGCACAACACGCGCTCATGCCAGAGGTCGGACAATGACACCGCGGCCAGCATGCTGAGGACGGCGCCCGCAAAGTTGACCCACGCACAGCGAGCAGACGGCCCCGCTGCACCCGCATAACGCCGCCAGCAGCACCGCGACCCAGATCGGCAGGCACGCCCGCCAGGCAGTCGGCGCGCCCGCGCTCTCGCGGGCCGGCGAAGGGCACGGCAGGGCCGCCTCGCACACCGTCGCCTCGCAAGGCGGGCGCGAGGGGGCCGAGCAGGTCACCTGCGGGCCGCTCAGCGGCTGCGGCGAAGGGCGGGTGAACGTCACCTGCGGGCAATTGAGGGTCGGCGGAGGACACGCCGGCGGCGGCGGGCAGGCCGCGGGCGGCGGGCAGGCTGGGCAGCGCCCCAGCCACGCGCCGCCGAGGTTGGCCGCCCCGAGGATGGCCGCCTGCACCACCTGCCCAACCACCATACACCACACTCTGAAGGAGTCCCGCGGGCTGGGCTTGCGGGCAAAAAGGCTTGAGTATTGATTGCCACATCGGGTGGACGGCCACCAGACGGGGTGCATATACAAACTCGTGTGGAACACTGCAATGTCGGCGGCGACTTGGGTCTAAGACGCGGTCAGGGCATGGCGTGGGACACATGGCACGCGAATGCGGCACAAGGACAGCTTGCCGTCGCTCGGACGTCCATTCCCAGTACATGTCGCTCGATGATCCAGGATGCTCTTCGATGGTCCTCGCCGAGAAAAGATACACACGTCCGAGCGATGCCAAGGAAGAGGGTAGAAAGAAGGGAGGCGCGCTGTGAGCGGAAACCGAACTCGGAACATGCAGCCCTAGTGCGGGTGCCGGGAGCGCACGACGAAGTGCAGGGCGTGCACAGTGAGGGGAGGGACAAAAACAATCGGCATAAGCATAAACTCCCGGGAGTCCGCGCGGGACTTTTGGATCTGCACTGGGCCCCCCTGGCGGCGCCTCAACCAGCGCCTGACGCGCTCCGCGCGCCACGGAGGGGGGGTCCAGCGCCGATCCAAGAAATCCGCGCGGACGTCCGAAAGCTTATGCGTGCGCTGTTTGTCGTCGAGGACCAGGGCGCTCCGCGACACGTCGGCGTACAGCTGCCAGTAGCGTACCTGCTCCAGCAGCACGTCGCCAGGGTGACCCATGGCTGTGTTGAAGGCCGTGTGCGCCTCGTCGTCGAAGTGCGGCGCGTAGGGAAAGAGCGCCTGCGCGGCCCTGGCCTCCTCCGTGGACAGCTGCCCGGCCGTCTCCTTGCAGAGCTGGCCGTACATGGTGAAGACGTGCGCCAGGAACGGTACAAGGTAGTCGTCGCCTTCGGTGGCAACTCATGGGGCCCTCCCATACCATCTTGTCGGCTCTTGCGAATCGACGCTAGTCGACGCTAAATCGACGCTAATCGATGCTAAATCGACGCCGATCAACGCTAACCGACGCTAAATCGGCGCTATCTCATCGGCTCCTAGACGCTAGTCGACGCTAAAGACGGAATTCAGGGGGTACACCAGGCTCCCATGATTTGCTGCCGAGCGTCGCCTGGCGTAAACATCGGCACGCCCAGGGCGCACAGCTCCGAGAAGGACATGAGGTGCAAGTCATGCGGCACGTACAATACCGCCCTGTGTCTCGCCACGTCCTGCCAGTCCAGCCAGACGCCCTCCGACGGCTCGACGAGCTCCAGAGGCACGCTCCTAAGAAGAAACCCTGCAATTCTGGCGACTCATTTTTTTTAGCTGGGCGTTTTCGCTCAATTTGGGGCCCCGGGACCCTCACAGATGGATCAGGCTCGAAACATGACGCAGAAGGATAGGATATAAGGCTCCAGGCGCGATTTTTCACGGCGTCTCAATCTTTTTGAGACGTCCGATCTCAGGGACGACTGCATAAAACAACTGAATGTTCCGAAATCCGCGCAGATTTCTTGGATCGGCGCTGGACTCCCGTCCCTGGTACGCGTAGCGCGCCACGTGGCCGGAGGCGCCAACAGGTGGGGCCCGGCGCCGATCAAAGACATCTGCGCGGACGCCCGAACGTTTACCCGTCGGTCGGAAGAAGTTGGGTGGAAGGCGTTGGAAGTAGGAAGGCGGTGGAAATAGATTGGGTCTCTGCCCGCCCCCTGAAGAGAGGATGGAAGAGGGACAACCGCCCGTCTCTTGAAGTAGGAAGGCGCTCCAAGTAGATTGGGACTTGGGCATCCAGTAAATACCAACTTTCAACACCACTCGACACTCAGAGTAGGAAGGCGCCCAAAGTAGATTGAGACTTGGGCATCCAAAGTTGCTTCCTTCCAAAGACCGGCGTGTACGTGCATGCTGCTCGGCATTCAATCGGGTGCGCCGAGGAAGGGGGCCAGAAGGGGAGGGTGCGCAGCGCGGCCCGAGGCACTCGCTCGGACGAGCGGGGGCCAAGACCGTTTCTGTTCTTGACGGGCCCAAGTGGACGACGCCGACACCAAGGCAGGCCCACGGCGAACCACGCCTCCCGCGCCCCGGGTAGACGAGGCCGGCACCGCGGCAAACCCTCCGGCAAACTCTTCGCCCGAGGCGGCGTTTGCCCTGGTGGCCGCGGCGCCCTCCCGAAAACGGAAGGTCGCGCGTCGAAACAAGCGGCGAGGCGACCCATAAACTCTGGGGGACGTCGTGGCCTCGACCATGAAATCCACCCCCGCAGGTCCTCCCCGCAGGGGGAGCGAGAAGGGGAGACTGGCTCAGGGGGCGAAACATCGACCTGGAATCTGCGATACACGTCGCCGACAGATCGGCGAGCGGCCCCCCGATAGCGTGACCTCACGTTCCTGGGAGGGTGGGCTACTTTCACGCCTCTGTCGGCGATCGATGGGCGATAGGGGGCCGATACGCTCCCCATGCAGCCGATCCCCTCCTACGTAACACCCCCCCCCCCGGGTACCCCCCTCCTGGACACCCACGAGTCTTCGATCCTCGACAGCAGGAACCGGCGCAACTGTGCCGCGAAGACCTTGCCCGCCGGCTCCGCGGCGAAGGCGGTCCGGTACAGCAGCACCGTGGCGGGGCCGCCGCCCTCGTCGGGGGCCTCCGCGGCGGCGCCCGCGGGCACGTACAGGGCGATGCTGGGGACCAAAGGGAAGAGCCTGCCTTAGGCAGAGGGCAGCCGTGCACCACCACCAAGCCTGTCCAAGGCCGTCCTGGGCACCGGCAAGGGTCTGGATGCCATCCTGCAGCCGCTCGCTCCATTCGCGCGTCGATGCTGCGCCGAATTCCAGTCGACTTGAGTCGAACTCGAGTCGAAAGCGAATCGAACTTGAGCCAAGCTAGAGCCGAGCTGGAGTCGAACTAGAATCGGACAGATCCTTTAGGTGAGCCCCCGGAAGGTCCCACAAAATGAACATTTGATATGGGTTTGGAGTCCTGGTGTTACCATGAGGAGCGCTGAATCCCACCAGCCCTTCAGGGCGTGAGTGATTTGGCGGGTTTTCTCTTCCAACACCCTTCTTCCCATTCGGAGAAGGGTCTGTCACTGTTCCCTATTGATATACACCACCTCCCCCAGGCGACTGGCAGCCAACCAGGACCAATGAGGGCCACCCCCACCATCCCTGTCAATGAACCATGCAAAATCCACGTTTGAGGCAAACTCTTGGGACATGATAGGGGGGGCCGCGAGCATTTTTTTTTTGACAGGGACGGCAGGGGTGCCCGCATATTGCCTGCTGCGCGGAGGGCCCGCATCCCTCGAACAACAAGACAGCATGCATTTTGAGACGACATCTAAATCATGCGCGGGCACTCCGCGATGACTTTGCATTAGTCTTTGACTGGGACGGCGGGGGTGCCATCATATTGCGTACTATGTGCAGGCCCACCAGACACTATGATGGCCACCCCGCCGCGATTCCGCACGCGTTTTCGACAAGGGTTGGTGGGGGCCGACACGTTTCCCGATGTGTACTGCCACGTGCGCAGGCGTACCTGGCACATTCTGCGCGTGTCCCGAACGTGGCGCACCTGGCGCGGCTGGAACATGCGGCACACACGGCGCACGTGGCGCATCTGGCGCTCCAGGCGTGCCCGACACGCTTCGGCCACAGGGGTGCCTGGCGCACCTGGCGCGCCTGACAGGCCTGGCGCACCTCGCCCCAGCGTTGCGCACAAGGGGCCTGTTACTGTTCCCATTCGCCGTGAACCCAAAGACTACCACTGAACACGCTGCGGCCCGGGTGCTACTCATGTGTTGGGAGGGCGGGCGGGAATCAGCAAGACGGCTTGCGGGCGGGGAGCGATGCAAGAGGGGCCCAAGAGGGCCCCAAGGGGCGCCCAGAAGGCCCCAAGAGGCCGACAAGAGGTCCCGAGCTGTGATGAGGGGTCCTCCGGACCCTCTGGGGAAAGTGTGTGGGCTAGCTTGTTCTCCTCGCGCGAATCCCCACCGCGTTTCTCCAAGCTAGCTAGTGCCCAAACGGCAGCGGAGTGAGGCAAGAAGCACTGAATCAACACTCCCACAACTTAAAAGTTGCCTCAACTCCGACTTGAGGCTCAGCTTTGACTGAACGCCTTTACAACACACAGAACATTTCTTGATCACGGCGCACGGGAGGCGAAAACCACTCATATGTCGATCATCTAGTGGAGCTGGTCCTCCGAGGCTGACGCCCTCGACGTAGGAGCTCCCGCGCGGTCCGCGCCCGCCGCTCTCGACGACGCGGGCATCCAGCCCCCCATGGACATATCATCGCTGGCCACAGAACTTTCCTCCACAGCAACGATCGGAGCCTGACCAAACACACCGGTCTGCATCCACTACTCCGGATCATTTTCGTTCAACATCTTTGGCTGCAAACCGCACTCCTCGACCAAGAACAGAAGGGTCTTGTCGCGCCAGAAGGGAAAATCTGCCATGCGCTCGCACACTGACACTCCGACGTCGCCAATTCCGCTGTGGAGCTCCGACTCCCTGGGCAGACGGAGCGTCCGAGACGGGCGGCAGCTGCGCTGCGTGCCGCCAGCTCCTGAGCTGGGGGGGCCGCCCTGGCCCCCCGAGTAGCCCGCCGAGAACTCGCCCCAGGCCGGGGGGCGGAAGGAGTTCTCCGCGATCGACCCTACAGGCGGGGCCGGCGGCACCTGCTCGTTCTTCAGCGCCGCGTGGTAGTGGCTCTCGAGCACCTTCAGGCGGTCGCGCATGCCATCCTCGAGCGGGGCCGGCGAGTGCAACGCGATGTACCCCGTGCTGGCGCGGTGCACTAGCGCGATCTGCGAGACGCTCTGCTTGCCCGACAGGCGGTCGTCCAGGACTCCCGCGCGGATCTGCACCTTGACCTTGTTGCTGGAGCCCTCGGTATTGCCCTCGCCAGCCTCCGCCAGGCCCTCCAAAAAACTCCTCGCGCCACTCGCCGTGTTCTTCGCCTCGATCTTCACCATCTGTTCGTAAACTCTCCGTGGCCTGTGGGGCCGCGAGCTGCTTCCGCAAGGCGCGCTCCGCCGATGCTTGAGCCAAGACACTGCTCTCATCGGCGAGCTGGTAGGTCCCGTGGCGGACACAGCTTCGGAGGAGATCGGCGGGCTCTGCCTTATCCCTCGTGAGACAGTCCGCCAGCATCAGAGACGTGGGACCCCGGCGCAACACGGCCCCGAGACGTGTCAGGCTCTCCTTACTTATTGCGATATCTACTGCGCACCTCCTATCGCCATTCCCAGACGGGCTCCCCATCTTGCACACGTTGTCGTAGATACACTTGCAGTCAATGACCGCCAGACTCTTCAACTTATTCAGATACCGGGGCCGATCTCCAAGAGTGAAGCCTCGAAAGAACCCCCTCCAAATGCCCGCTCCAAGTGCCCGGGACCGTCGGTCATCACAGACGACTCCCCCGCCAAAGTAGACTTGACCACCCGCTTCACCCGATAACTCCTCCAGATCAAAGGGCCCCACGGGGAAACCCTGCCTAGCTCCATGTCCCTCTTAGTCACCCCGACGATGTAGCCCCCCTTGCGCGTGGCCCATGTTGGACATTTCTCTCGACGAGTAGCCTGAGTGGAGGATGAAGGCAAGCTCGGCGATCGGGATCGAGGGGTATCGGATCTTGAGGTCTGCAAGCTGCTGAGCACGCCGGGCCAACATATTTCCTTTCCTGATATCATCAACGGTGGGGTGAGGCATCTTCTGTTGGTTCGAGCTCACGAGGATGCTGAGATCTGGTTCCCCCGCTGGTTGAGGGAGATGAAATCTTTTATTTCTGACGGGACCGCCAGAGCATCAGCGCTTGCATGTCGGCGGGTCGACACCCGCTCCATCTCCTCAGACGCGCACTGGTACTGCGTCTGCACGATGGTGTACTCGGGGAGCTGCCGCAGCCGGGGCCCGACGAACTCGGCCTCCTTCCCCTGCCACTTGCGGTAGGGAAAACGGCGCCTCAGCCGTGACAGTGCCTCGGCCCCCTTGGATCCACGGCCCCCGAACACGCCGTCGCCCACGTGCTGGCCGATGACCCCGCACAGGTCGCCGGGACGGGCCACTCGAAGAGGCTCTGCCCCCTGACCGTCGATGACGCGGTAGTCCTCGAGGTCGAACTCCACGGACTCGCCGACGCCCTCGAACAGCAGCAGCACGCACGGGTCCATGGGATGCTGCACGAAGCCCAGCTCCTCGATCAGGAACTTGCTAAAAGTCAACCACCACAGCTGCGGCTGGTCGCTCCTGCCGTAGCCGTTGATGACCTCGCAGAGCTGATCCGCGCGCATCCCGTCCGGCAGAAACTCCGACGGCAACGAGACGTAGATCGCGCCGTGCTCTGCCGGCGCCAGCGACGCGTCCGTCTCGAGGAAGGCCCCCTCCACGTCCCCGCTGGCCAGGGGAAATTTGGCCGAGGCGATGGTCTGGAGGACGAACGCCCTCCCGTTTGAGGCTCGACAGCGTCGGGGCCTGAGCGCGGCCCGCCTTCACCAACTCCAGGAGATCGGGGTCCTTGAACCCCTGGATGGTCGTCCTACACTTAACTACCACGTTGCCCTCCTCGTCCTCCTTCTCCGTCAAAACCGGTCGGGGCTTCATGACCCAGAGGGTCCTAGGATCTACGTAGTAGATCGTGGGTTTGAGTGAAGATATCAGATCTACGTTCTAGGATCTACGATCTACATCTTTGCGCTTCACATGCATGTTATGTGCCAAGTATCATCAACAGCATGGCCTTGAGCATCAAACAACATCAGTGCAACAAAAAATTCGTAAACACATGCAGTCGTCCACGTTTGGTCGCGAATTGTGTCTTGGATTGGTGACTCCGACGGCTCAATATTAACTCCAGGCGCGCATCTGCACGTGGGCGCGCGCGCCGTCGCGTGCGCGCGTGATTGCGTTGTGCGTGAAGGCGCCCGAGTGAGCACTTGCGAGCCCGTTGTGATGCGCCACGTCGTTTGAAGGCGCGCGCGGGCGCCCAGCCGCGCGCCCAGCGAACGAACACACAACTACCAACGCGACTTTCTTTGCCAAGCTCTCCCCCCCCCCCACCCGCCGTCCAGAATTCCCCCCCACACACGCGCGCACACACCGCCACGCCAACCACCAACGGACAGCGATGCGTGCGGAGACGTCGCCATGATGGGGCGGGTCGGAACGTGCCGAGAGGCATTTATCAAAATGTGAAGCCCTCGCCTCCTCCTCCTCCTCCTCCTCCGCCTGCTCCTCATTCCTCCTCCTCCTGAAATGAGTTTCCATTATCAGTCAGGCTTCCTATCGAATAGATCTTCTACTGTTCTCGCAAAGCTGTTCAACGCCAGTGCAACGCATTAGCCGCGGCAGCAGCGCGGCGCTCTTGAGCGCATCGGCGCGTCGGTGACAAAAGAGGGGGTGAGGAGGATGAAAAGGACGACGACGACAGAGGCGAGGGCGGGCACGGAGCAAGGGGAAGAGACGAACGTGTGATGCGTTGGGTGGCCAATTGTATCGTGGCTACGTTGTTTATTGGGATCGCGGCTTGCAATACACACGCAGACAACACTCGGGTGGCTTTCAGACAATGAGAAGACAAATCGCGCAATGAACAATGCCAGTATTTTCGTTGCAAAGCTAGCCAAGGCCCAACGCGTGACATGACATCAGGAAACGCTTCTCACGTTCCAAGGATCATCTCCCACGGGTCCAGGGC